ATCATAGTAGAGTTTATTGTATCACTAGTAAAATTTCCTAAACGGCGAAGTAGAAGTTTCAGAGGAATTATCTCCCTACATTCGTAACTGTTAATTGTTTAATCATAATTTAAAATAAACTCACAGCTATCTGATCGAAAGGGTACAGTAAGACAAATCTTAAACTTGCTGAACAATAGTCTCCCCAAAACAAGTCTTCTAAATTGCAATGGCCGTGTTAAAGATTGGCCACGCCTTGGAGTACCTCATCTAAAAATAGATAGGCTACTCCTGCGATGCTACAATTTCTACAGTGAAAACAAAAGTTTCATGACGCAAGTGTCTGACGAAATTCTAGGTTAAAGGTCTAATACTTGCATAACAAGTAGTAACTGGGTGTTAAGTACACAATAGAAAATAAATTACAGCCGTTTGTATATGCCTTAGTGAACTAAAACGTATGTAAAAGTTTTCGAAAAGCAAACAAAAGACCTAGAAATTTATATGAACAACTCCTGATGGTTCAAAAAGGAAGCTTGTAAACCAAGAAAACTACTAGAGCAGTCCCTAGGTGGCCCCACTACGAATCCCTGCCCAAAGGTCCCGCTTGTTTTAACATCTTGAGGAGTTAAAGCTAGGAGTATGGTGCACTCTTTAGCGTATTAAGTCCTCTTCTTATTGCGAACGATGATCTACTTCTGCAATTATACGCCCATGCAAGAACAAACTGTGATGATTTACTTTGTTTCGTTGGACCAGACAGTAGGACACCCCTTCGACTTACAATTATAAGGAAGGTCCATCCAGTCTGCACAATTTCAATTAGAAAAAATTGCCTGGTATTTGACTCTCGTCATTTGGTAGACAAACGTCTGTAGGACTAACTGTGGTGAATGGAAAATTAGAACTACAAAACTGCTGCAACCTTGTGCAATCGGTGTCAAATCGATCGAGCTTGGAAGTATTCCGTGCCACAACGCCAAACTATTGTTTTGGAGGGAAACCAAGCACTCTGCGCTTCTGTTGCGTCATCTAAAGCGTGAGTTCTCGCCTGCCCACAGAGGGTAGCATAGACTAGCGGTTTAAAGCCCAAGGACTCACGTGCGCTTGTGCTTTAAAAACAGATAGAAAAAAACTAGGCAGCTTGGTTGCTCATCCCCTGATCTTGAATGAAAAAACAA